AGACCTGCATTAAGAGGTGGGGAGTGAAACACTATATTAATACCAGCATCTTTTCCCACTTTACTGTGTATTTATACTAAACTCTTCTGGTTGGTGTTACTTTGTAACTACAGCTATTGAAAAATCAAGTGTGTGGATGTGTGTGTTTGTGTGTGTTTGTCAGTTTCATCACACATGAATCAATGYTTAGCTTCTTTTTAAGTATCTTACTGCCTAATGCTGCCTTTCTTTCTTCTTTTTCGTACAGGCCAACATCAGGATCAATAAACCACATTGATGTGAGCTTAAATTACAAGAAGGCAGTCAGATTAGATGATCAGGTTTCCTCCTTATTGTTTGTAAAACAACTGATAGACATGATTTTATGTTTGATAAGGATATACAACACTCGTAAAATAGAAAAGATTTTATTGTTTATCAGAAAAGTCTATGAAGTCTCCAGTTTGTGACGTCTGTCTCCACCTCAGGACAGATGATGTTAGAAAGTCTTCACTGAACGTGAGGCTGAACCGTAGCTTTTAAAATCCAATCATCCTCGTCTCTCTAAAAAGCTTCAWGAATGTCACAGACTGCAGTATTTTGCCCGGTTAAATCGAAACGATGACCCTCTTTATCACGTCGAGTGTCTTTTACAAAGTGCATCCAGTCTGTGATGATAATTGTTCATCCTAGACCAAACCAAGTTGGACATCTTGGCATTGAAGCTGGAAAGGTACCGGAGCCAAGCCGTTCAAATTCACAACATTTACTTTCAATTTTCTTGACATTTAAACAAAGCCAAAGTAAAGATCTGATTGGTTTACAGTAGGTGGATATTTTATCCAACCTTCTTCTTTCGTATTTTCCGTACCCTTTTCCAAACAGTTATTTTTTGAAGAAATATCCCAGAAAGCTTCTGTCGTCACCTTGTGCCAAATCAAATGCTGCAGCTTATATTTTTGGTCAAATCAAAACGAAAATGCAGTATTTTTCAGTCTAAATTAAAACAATTCGACTTGTACATCATAATAAAATTCTCCAAAATGACATTTTTGCTCATGGCTGCGATGCAAAATACAGAGCTGAACACAGACAGATGGTTCGCTGAAGRTCTAATTCAGACCGGAGAGCCTCAGCAAGGACACCGTATGTCTGTAGACGACCCCGGTGAGAATGGGAAGGTGGAATAGCAGACAAAGACGGAGGACAAAGATGGAGGACAAAGACGGAGGACGCGGGACACAGAGTGTGTGTTTATTTGGCGTAGCAGATAAACACGGGTCCCAGCTGGCAGTGATTCAGCAGTCTGCTCAGTAGCTGGGGGACACTGGGGAGCTGTTGGGTGGGTCCATGTCACGGATCAGCTGTCTGTTATCATCTCTGCTAAACTATTGTTTTCTCTTTTCAGCTTCACTGCTCGTGAAAAAGTAAAGCGATATATTTTTTCACAAAACGGCATAAAAATGTTTCAAAAATTGCATATTTTCAGTTCAACTTTTCCATTCATTTCTATATACAGTATTTATTTGCATCTCTTGCTGATATAGTTTCAAAAACTGGCTTCAGTCTGATTAGTGAGTGCAGTTTTTCATGTCTTGCCTCAGTAAAACACACAGTATTGAGTTGTGACAGCAGAATGCGGTGGATCTGTGGTCTCATGCAGGGATCAGCAGCAGAGTGAAGCACACGAAGCATTGTGCCACCTCAGCGCTGACAGGCATGCRGTTCCTTTTTATCACCAGCCTCATTAGGCCCTCAGCCGCTGCCAGCCAAAACCCTCAAACGTAAACCACAACTCGGTGTTCGTGCCAGACAGCCAGCAGTTTTAGAGCCACGCGTGCAGTAAGAAGCAAAAAACGGCTAATTCATTCATGTCGTTGCAGAGATGAGTCTGCAGGTGGAGCTTACCGATGTTAACATCATCACATTTACACCACGCTGGACATATTGTCCTTTTCTCATCCTGCAAATATCCTTTATTACAGGTATCCTCTCTGCCTTTTGATTGATGCRTGCTGTTTGTGTTATCATTGACAAAACTGTCAGCCATTTAGGCACAATCAACTTTTTTTAGCTTTATGTTATAATTTCATTTCATCATCGAAGCATACCCAGAGTGTTGCTTTGACTCATTTATGCATGTTTGACAAATCCGTGAATCTCATGTTGCCATGTGGAGCAGTCTAAATGCTTGCTGGTACAAAGCACCGCCCATTTACTAAAAGCCCCTCCCTCCAAGTCCCCAGCTAAGCTCACACTCCAGAGAACTCACACAGCTCTAACAGACTAGCAAAACRTGTTTTAAAAAAGGCGGATGTTCATTATTTTGTGGCAAAATATGGCATCATAATGATCTTATTGTTTCTTCACAAAAAAATTGCTTAACATTGACTTATGTTTTAGAGTGAAGGAAATTTTGTGTAAATGTTAACAGAATTTCTGATTCAGTCTTGTATTTTCTGTCATATGTTTTAAAAGCAGGGCTGGGTGATATGGCAAAAAAAAGATCACAATTATTTTTTTCATATCGTCCGATCTCGATTAATTTCACAGTTTTTTTGTTAACCTAAAAAGTGACTGAAGAATGATTTAATAAATAAATAGCTACGGAAATAAAAAAAAATTATGGCTGTTATTTCACTTTCACTAACATAACAAATAGCTGTGGTTCAGTAGAATATTAACTTACTTTTGCAAGGTATTTAAAACGGTATTTACCAAGAAAAAAAAATACAACATTTATGTGTAAATCATAGAATCTCCCATTAATAAAGTTATCCTTTTGTAAAATTAAAGTTTTAGAATTGAATTTCATATTAAAAATGTCATAAAGAAACAGAAACCCTACAAAACAGCAACAATTAGTGCACACGTGCCAATAAAATCAGCATTCATTTCGGTATCGGTCAATATTGGTCATTCTTTAGTATATCGGTATCGGTCCGGTATGTGAAACTCGGCCGATATTAACATCCGATATTGATTTCCCACTTTTAGCTTTGTTTTTGTTTTGGGAGGGAAGATGTTTGGTTGAGCAGCATCTGTTTGATCATGATAGTGATACTGATGCTGTGCAGTCAGGAATAACTGAAGTAGAGAGCCATGTCAGAGGTCTGGTCATTTATTTACGGTATCAAAAAAAGACCCAAGTGTTGATTCTGTGATTCCRTCTGCGTTTCTTTATCATCTTGTAAACAGAAGTGGAGCAGGAGAAGGTGGATTCTGATTAGCTGTTGTCGCGGACGTTTCTGCCATGTTTGATCGAGTAAGAGGCTCACAGCTGATCACCACGATCGGCTTGAAATTTTTCTCGATCAGTAATCATGATCAAATAATCGCCCAGCCCTACTTTAAAAGAGAGTCGTATGTTTCTATCAGCATGGCCAAGACAAAGAAAGCTTGTTTTATATTCCAATGTCTGATGTAAAAGRTACCGCCCCCAGGGGCGTGACCAGGAAGTCAGGTTTACATGTGACTTTACGGATTGATTTATCGTTATTCTTTATTATTTTAGAGAATGAACAGCAGCTGGGGCTGCTGAAAGGGTTTGTTATTGTTCTGATAAGACCCAAGGCCTCAAACTAACAGGCCTGCCTGCCTGCCTGACTGGCTGAGAGCTGGGTTCAGATTTTTGGTAAAAATCTTTAGAAGAGAATCAACTAGCTTTCTGCAAACGTATTCAGACTTTAATTATTGATCACATTTTTCTTACAAGAGGATGACTGGGAGATATGTTACCAAGCTGAAATGTCTTGTAAGAGTCTCTGTGCTCGCTCTCGCTCTTCAGAAAGCATCCTTTCTGATTCTAATGAAGGATCATACAAGTATGGTTCAACTGTGTCCTGAGATGCCATTTTCCTAAACCGATATATAATGTTGCTTCTGTTTTACAACAGTACAACACTCCCACTAATGGTTGTAAACGCCATGAAGCATCGCTGTGAAGACGTGCTGAAGTGGGAGTGTCAGAAACGGTAGAGGATTCCTAATAAGATAGAGGCCAATTTCAAGGCATTTAGATAGACTATTTTTTTAATATAAACAGCATTTTTTATAACAACTGAAGGTAACATGGTTACTTGATTGTGGCATAGAATTGAACTATGTGGCTGGAAAATACTTAATACCCCACATTAAATCAACTAACCCAACAATTTAGCTCAAGCATAACTATAAACCATCACTTAACCGGGACTTGGTATGGCTTTGAATTTCATAAATAATCTCCTTGATATGGAATCTTAAAAAAAACTTTTAGGTGGTGAGATCATGTCCTCAGGATGTAGTTGACAAAAGAAGATAAATGTAGACAAATAAGCCTGAAAAACTGTGACAATGTTACTACAATGGATGCAGCAAACAGGTATTTATGACTAAGGTGGTATTTAGCAGCAGATGTGACCTGAGCCTCACCAGACACCAAGTCTGTAATTAAGATCGGACAACAGAAAGGAGGGAGACAGCTTCACGACACAGGCAGGGTAGATTCTTACCTTTTAAGACCAGTCAAAGTTACTTATTTACAGTTTGTATAGGGTTTCAACACGTGTGTATATTATTCAAATAAGGCTTTTTTTAAAATCAGCCTTTTATTACACCAGAAGGTTTAAGCCAGTTTTGTTTTTGTTGTAAATATTATCCTTTTTTAATGTCATGAGTAAATAGACATTTTTCGAGGTATTTTAAGAACACTTCAAAGCAACTAATGTATCATACTTTCCACTGTGTTCAGCTTTTGTCTCTTAGTGTCTCCTGTGGGGCCAGTTTAGGTCACATTCCCTCAGTGACTTTCATCTGCAAGCCTGTTTCTTCTCTGCTTTTATTTGCCTCCCATTGTTAGTACTGTGTCCTCCACCTGCGAATGTCTGTTACACATTTCTTCCAATTACAGCGTTCTCAAGTTTAATCGCAATATAATTGTATTTGCTCACGTTTCCTGAGCCAAAGCTGGTTATTTTGGTTGTCCGTCTTTCATTTTTATAAAATCTAACGTTCTCGGTGTGTGTGTGTGTGTATCCACAGGCTCATTTGCGTTCAGTGGACGTGAAGATTTTGCAGCAACTGCTTGCGGTCCACGAGGGCATTGAGGCGGTGAAATGGCTGATGGAAGAGCGCAGCACGCTGACCAGCCACTGCAGCAGCCTGACCAGCAGTCAGTACAGCCTGGGCGAGGGCCCTGACACCTCCTGGAGAGGCTCCTGGAGCAGCCTGCAGGACCCCACCAATGACAAACTAGACAACATCTCCATTGGTAGCTACCTGGACACGCTGGCTGATGACCTGGACGAGTACTGCCCCTCGAGCTCAGAGTCGGTCATCTGCACCACTACACCTCTAGCCTCAGAGGCGACAGCTGGGGGCCACTTAACAGGAGGATCCAGGGTCCCAGGATCTGTAACAGGACCTGGAGTGGGGTGTCGGTCTGGTAATGAAACTGGGACAAATGGCGATGGAAGTCAGCCAGAGGCTAGAAGTGGACCTGGGAATGGAGTGAGCAGTGTTGTCAACGGTGCTGCTATTAGTGGAGCTGGGAAACCAGTGGTTTCTTCTCAACTAAGGTCTGACGGCTCCAAGCCAGAAGCTCCAGTTTGGACCAAGCCTGTAGAGACAGAAAGGGGAAACCCCGTTTTAAAGGACAGCAAGCAGACACCAGTGAGGAAGGCTAACGGTGTCCCGGAGAAACCGGCAACGCAAACAGGCAGCCCGGGTCGCAAAGGCCTCACGACGAAAACGGAAAACTGCCAAAGCCCCAAAGTTAAACCTTACAAAAACGGAACGATTGACTTGGACACGGGCAAAAAGAACGGCAAAGTGCATCTGGAGTACGACGCTCACTGGCACTGGGTGCAGTCCCAAGAAGATGTGACTTTTTTGTAACTGCCGTGTGAAACTCACAGCGTGAGAATTCCCTCAGTGAAAAATGTTAACAMGTTTAACTCTTGTTCCCGGTCACGACTGCACCAACTTTCTACGAAACATTGATGTCAGAGTTAAGGTGGATGCACGTTTTTCTCCACTTTTAGTCAGACAGGGCTGCCGAACACAAATGTAGAAAAATTACTTTAGTATTTTAGTGCCATGTTTTTATTTTTTCCTCAGGGTATTTTGGCATGCCCCGGTTTTATTTTAAAGGAGACATATCATGCTTTTAAATCCTTCTTTTTCACATTTAATTTATTCAAGCTAAGCTTCTTTTTATTTTAACCATCTATTTTAGGAACTTCAGTTCACTAATGATTATGATTCAAGTAAATTGGAGTCAAAACTATTTTGAATGCTATAGAAAGGAGTGATTGTTGGTGGGATCACTGTTATTAGGGACTTCGATAAATGCGCTGCCCGATCTCAGCAGTGCGTGGGTCAGGTTTTTGTGAAATTTTTTTCGCTCGTTTTCATGCTTACTCTCCACTTAGCATTTCGAAATCTATCTTACGGTTTTATATAGTTTGTTTTCTGCTTTGGTTTGAAAAATCGTTGCGAAATTGTGACGCGCACTATGTCTACGGAGCTCCTCACTTCTTTTATTTATAATGGAAGTCAATGGAGCTCTTGCTTCCTAATTTTCAGCCTTTAAAGACCTCTAAATCGTTAATGGGTGGTCCGATTTTAAAAAACTAAATAGTTTTGGAATCTGTACACAGAGCCTTGTGAGTACAAAAAGGAAAAACAGCTCTAAAATAAGTTTGAAATTTTTTTATCAAAGTCCCTACTGTTATTTTACACGCTCTAAGAGGATAATTTTGAGAGAGTTTGTTTCTCTACTAAATTTCCAAGCTGGTTTTCCAGAGCAGGCGTGATGGTCAGCAGTGCTCAATCATTCATTCAAAAGGTGGCATCAACTCAACCAAGAAAACCATTAAACAACAACCAAATAAATCTTAAACAACTTGGACGTCTGTCTAGGCTTCACCGTTTCCATTGAAGTACAACAATTTAAAAGATCGTGCAGACTGATGGTGTTAGCAGGAAGGTTAGAGTGTGTCACCCCCACTAGTAACTAGTGTTAGTTTTTATCTTAAGTTTCTGTTCAGAGCCTGCTAGGAATGCGCGATATAAACGATATACGGTAGAAACGATATAAATTTGTCCTATGATAGAGATCTGTAGTCTGCCRGCCAACCGCGCAATTCTTTTTGATGATGTAACCGGCTGGAGTCAAAACAGAGGAAGTGGGAAGCAGCCTGGCTGAGAGCGCAAATGAAGAGAGGGAAAAAAACTTATCCGGACCTGGTTCGGGTGTGTGAAAATGAACACCGAACTGTTTACATATTTACGTGATGGCGCGTCCTCCGGTCGCATGCCGACCGACCACACTGCCTGCTGCGGGAGGAGCGCGCGCCGCGGCATGTGTGAAGGGCTCGACRCACGRGAGGCGACGTCGCTCGCTCTCCATTCATTTCCACGCAGCGAGGCGACAGTCAGTGCAGGTGAAGTCAGTGCTCAGGTGGGACGCACAAAAATCAGTCTGGACCTCGTTTCTCCTGCGGTCATAGCGCAACGACGCACGGCCGAATGCGCGCGCACACCAAAGCGCGACTATAACGATTGTCACCCTGCCGGAGCGCGCACAGATTAAACAGGTGGAGTTCCGAAAAAATAATCTGCAAAGTCTGTAGAAAGGAATAAATACAAGCAATTTGTTTTACCACCTTAAAACAAAGCAGGTGATTCCAAACACAACAYCCAATGGATGCAGATATYTATTACATTAAAGTTGTGTGTGTGTGTGTGTGTGTGTGTGTGTGTGTATCTTTGATTTAACCAGGTAGGTCTCCCTTAAATTTAGATTTTTATGGGAGACTTTAAAGTGTCCCTTTAAAAAAGGAGATTTTAAGATCTAATTTTTTTTTACCTATACATATTTATTCCACTCAATTAATGTGTGATTTATTTATTTTCTATTATAAGTTTTATATTGTGATATATATCGTTACCACCACTCATCATAATGTATATCGTGATATGAATTTTTTGCCACATCGCAAATTCCTAGAGTCCGCTGTTTAGTCTGCAAGACCAATGAAAGCTTTGTGAAGCTTGATCTTTCTGTGAACCCACTTGAATATTGGTTCTTTTTGTCCTTTGGTGATTTTGATTTGGTAGGCGACCGGAGACAGCTTGTCGGTGATAAGATCGGGTCGGTCCAACATGGCATGAGTTTACATGCACGTTTTCTGGTTTCAGTGTTGGACTGACCAGTTTTTGGAGCAAAGATGCAGTACCAAACCTTATCCCCTACTTGAAGTTCATCATGCGAGGCTTTCTGGTAATAGTAAGCTTTGCATCCTTCTGCAGTTTTCTCTAGATTTTTATTCAGTCTGAATTCCTCCTTATTGTAACTCCAGAAGCCCCTCTTTCACCCTTTTCTGAGGTGTGTCTGAGAATAACTCGTTTTGGCACTGTCTCTTTAAATCCAAAGCTTCCAGCTTCCACCAAATTGTAATTGGTAAGTGCAGACCTTATTTGGCAGTTCCATTGCAAATAATTTGATGAAATAGTTCAGAAAACGTCATAGAAAATAGAGAAAACTGAACGTGTGGAAAAACTTGACCCAAACAATATAAAGACATTCATGCAGAACCAAGAAATTACATTTTAATTTTCTGCACTGCTACAGACTTCAAGTACTCTACAAAAGGCATTTAACAGCTAAAAAAATTGGATTTCGCATCATATGTCCCCTTTAAATAATTCAATTATTTTATTTTTCTTTAGAAATAAAGCACATTGGCACGATCTRCCGGAGAGCTGAAACCTAATTTTAGATTATTTGATGTTTTACCTTTTTTTAAATGACTTTCTGATATGACTTAAAAACATATTCGCTCATTTATTGATTGTTTTGATGTAGAAAATATTTATTCTGATTGAGGTGGGATATTCTATAAAAAAATATGGCACTTAAGTATCCAAGTGTATCACATTTGACAGTATTATGCAGACAAACCCCYCATTTTTTCCAATTGTAAACTCCCCAAATATAATTGTGTGGACTTATTTATACATGATATAGCTGGGTTCTTCCAGCTGTGATACAAAGCATCTTTTAGTGTTACCAAAATGTTTGATGCAAGTATTAATCTGTACTATCTGAAAAACTGTGTGCATGTTTCTGCCAAAACCTTCCTCTGRCCCAGAGATCATATTAATGACAAAAGCACTGAGGTAAGGAAAAAGTTGAACTCACTAAAATAATCTATCAGAGATAATWCTTGTGTCTTTGTGAAATTTAGAATATTGTAAATCCACTAAACTATGACAGTTACTCTGCGCATCTTGATGTGACTGACTGTAAAATCCTGAATATTTAGCTGAGTGTATTTGGTTTCAATCATTGCCTGTGTTTAGTTTTAATTCATGCAAAAGTTGTGCCTGATTAATGTAAACCTTTACAACTCAATACTGTCTKTTTTCCCTTAGACAATTGCACTGTTGTCATGATAATCTGAATGYTTGGACCAATTTTATTGTCTTTTCTTTGTTCCTCCGGCCTCTGCTTGTGTACAAATAGCCAAACCAACAATGTGTCTGCTTTTCAGTGTCGACTGGTAAATGTGTTAATGTATGCTTGCTGGGTAGATTTTGCATGCCTGGTGCTGAAAGCTTTAGTTAATTGTTAGAAATGTATGGGRAATGAAACAATCAGACAAGAAAAAGCAATATTTTTGTCCTATAAGAGCAGGCTCTTTTAACAAACAAAATCTAATAATAAAGTCTGTTTTTAGATGACAATGCTACCGATGTTTGTGTGTGGAAAATAAAAATGCAGAGTCATGTCTGATGAACACAGCTGCTACGTCAGAGTGGATAAAAATAGACCACCCCCCACCACCCTATTTTCTTTCTTTTTGAACATTTCAGCTTCATCATCATGTTTCAGTCAGCAGTTAGTCAGGCTGATATTGATGAATCTGTGGACCACACCTGCTAAACGGAGGGAAACCTTTGTATTATGCAGATCTAAGGATACCTGATTCTGTCCTGAGCCTTACTGTTGTTTTAATATTTGTACTAAAATAAATTTTAAAAGTCAAATTATTGGAATTGTATGGAAGATGATTAGAGCCATAGAGCAAAAAAAAAAAAATTTTTTTTTTCCTGAGTTCTGACTTTTTCCCAATTCTGAGAAAAAAAGTCTGAATTCTGGCTTTTTCCTAATTTTGAGAAAAAGTCAAAATTCTGAGGAAAAAATTCTAAGAAAAAAGTCAGAATTCTGACCTTTTTCCATAATCTGCGAAAAAAAAGTCAGAACTCTGACTTTTATGAATCCAGATTTTTTTCAGAATTCTAGATTCAAAACTCAAAACAGAATACTTTAATCTCAGAATTCTGAGGAAAAAGTCAGAATTCGGAGATTAAAGTATTCTCTTTTTAATCCCAACACGCGTTAATGCAGATTTTCACACTGTTAGTTTTTTGCTCTTATGGCACAGATGACATGATCACCCATATAAAAAGTAATTCTTCAGTTTTTGTTTTCCTGATTTCAGGCAAAACTTACATTTCTTTCTTTCTTTCTTTGCCATTTATAAATTTATGACATCAACTTATTGTTTTAGTCAGTTGCAACTCCTTTTTAACTAATGCTCAGTTCGTGTGTCTCAGGAAGTACATGAAGTGATTTTACAGATGCCTTTTAACTGTTGCAGGGTTGATTGGTAAGGTATAAATAGATAAAGGTTTATGCTGAAAATATTTTTAACTTCAGTCAAACTCACTTGTGCAGGATTGTTTTAATCCTGATATATAACCAGCATCAGTGTTAAAGTTTTACATACTGTATCTATAAATCCTAACATGGTGATAAATCAAAGGTTTTAATCAACAGAGAGGTTGTTCATATCTTTCAAAGTGCTGCTATTCTGTATTTACAGGAAGGTACAGACAGCTGGAGGAAAAAAACAGTTCTTACAAAAGAAAGTTCAACTAAAAGTGTCTAAAAATGACCAAAAACTAACAACAGATTAAAAAGATCAATATTTATTTCAGCTTTTCAGACTTTTCTAACTTACGTTCAGCCCGTTTCTTTTTTCCCCCTCAGTGAAATTATAATTTAGATGTTAAACCCAGCATCTATTCATGTGAGCCACTCAAGTGTTTCCTCTCTCCTCCTCCTGCGTTTCTTTTTTATTCTACTTTYCCAGTGGTTTGATGGAAAACGCTCRGCCTGTGCCAACAAACACACCATGTGCCCACAATGCCCTCTCGCTGGAGACGGCACCAGAGAAACGGTGACCGGAGAGGAGCGAGGAAAAGTGAGCACAAAATAAAAACATGACATTTGTGAGCACTGTCCTGTTCTCCTTTTTCACAACCGTACAGACGTGAACTCATTTGAATCATCCTTTCCTTTTAGCATATGTGATGACTGWAAGATGATCCCACACACACACACGTCTGCTGTGCTAGTTTGTGGTTTTCTTTCCAAATGAGCTGAGGCATACGGAAAGAAAACAGTGCAGGAGACAGACCTGTAAAAGTCATTACATCAGCTTCTAACGTGTYTTTGTGAAGTTAAACTGCAGCGGTGGTTTAATGTGTTTTCTCTAGTCGTGTCCAGTTTAAATTTGGAACCCAAACGTCTTTTTGACCCACCTCTTGGCAGAGTTTTAACCAGAGCTAACAGTCTGGGTGCCACGCAGGAGGAACTATTTGTGGCCTATTGTCAAAAGAAAAAAATAATTGCTGGGAGTTTTAATAAGAATATTAGAGTTGCTACATTTCAGAAACCTTTTGGAAACACTTTTAGGGTGAAGTATTTCCCCCTGATTTTCTGCTGATGAACGCAAATTCATCACCGAGTCTTCTGGCCGTTCAGAATTCATCAAATGCCCGATGTGTGATGCTTTTAGGCTTCGGTATACCTGCATCCTCGGGCTATTCTGGGAACAAGATAAATAGCGTGATTACATAGATGAGAGGATAGCCACGTGAACGTGGTTGCCATGGCAATGAGACGGAGCTGGCATCAGCACTGGTGGCTGTATATAAAACAATGTGTGCAGCAGCGAGGCAGCACAMTTTGGATGAAGATAAGACAAATGAAACATCTTTAGACTGGATGAATTTTAAAGGAATCCATGATTAGTTGTAACATTAGACTTTA